TCTCATGTGTGTGTCATTCACTTGAGTTAACCGTACATTGAGTTAACGTTTGGCACTAATTGTGGTTTAATTTGATTGCTATTCAGTAATCCATTACTGCATTCGCTATCCATTGAAAGGTAAGACCAATTCACACGTGATTTGTGTTGTCTTTGGTGTCAATTGCGGCCCAAATGGACGATACATATGACAAGACATTCACACGAAACACGTGTTTCTGTTGTCGGCTACGAAACTAATTGACACGGATTTGTATTGTCTCGTTTTCGATGACAGGACCTAATCGGGTGACACCAACGATGACGAGTCGAGCGCCAACCGGCAAATTCTTCGACAAATTCTCGGACAGCGACAGCGAGTCCACCGAATCGGAAGACGATAACTTGCAGCAGAAGCCGACCGTCGCGTGAGTCTTCAGCCAAGTTTTTGTGACAATTGTGTGGCCAGCGGTCGCATCGCTGACCATATGTTTGTCGGTTAAGACATTGTTGTTTTAATTATGTTTGTCATTGTTTTTCAGCGCCTATTCGTTCAGCGATGACGACGAAGACGTGAAACGTGTGGTGCGTTCGGCGCGCGATAAGCGCTACGAAGAGATCCAGACGATCATCAAACAGATCCGCAATCACAAGAAGATTAAGGATATATCGAAAATGTTGACCGGATTCGAGAATCTGAGCGAATCCTTTGAAAAGGCGAAGAATGTGATCGATAAGGAAGAGTCTGGAGTGACGCCTAAGTTCTACGTCAAGTGTTTGGTAGAGTTGGAGGACTTCGTGAACGAGGTTTGGGAGGACCGCAAGAATCTCAACAAAAACAACTCGAAATCGTTGTCAACGTTGAGACAGCGGTTCAAGAAGTATATCAAAGACAGCAAAGAGAGTAAATACAACTTCGAGGCCGACATCACTGCCTTCCGCGAGAATCCCGAAGAGTTCGATGAGGAGAAGGAGCCCGAGTCGGGCGATGACGACGACGAAGACAGCGGCTCCGACAGCGACGTTGGCTTTGTGTCCACTCGACAGCGCCAGACATCGAAAGGAGAGGCGGACGACGACGAGTCTGAGGCGAAGAAAGGCGATCCGAGCGATAAGTTTAAGTCAAAGTTCTTGAAGGGCGGCGACGATGACGACGACGAGTCGGACGATGAGAGCGATTGGCCGTCAGATAGTGAGGACAGTTCGTCGTCGAGCGATGACGAGAAATACGGCGACAATTTGGCCGCGAAATTCTTGAAGAAAGAGGGAGAAGGGAAGGAGTATAAGAAGCGCGAGAAGAAGGTTAAAGAGCCCAAGATTAGCAAACGGCGCGCCGATGAAGACGCCGACGGAGAGGGCGAGTGGGAAAAGGTTAAGGGAGGCGTCGCCTCCTCCGAGAAGCCCAAGATGTTCGCCAAAGACGCCGAAATCAATCATCAGGTGATGATCAAGAAGTTGGTCGAAGTGTTGTCAATGCGGGGCAAGAAGCGCATCGATCGCACGGATCAGATCGAAATGCTGACTGAACTGATGGCCATTTCAGAGCAGCACTCGTTGGGACCGGCGCTGTCCGTGAAGATCCTATACGGTATTATATCGTCGCTCTATGACTACAACGCGAACATCAATACGTGTATGAAATACGAAATGTGGGAAAAGTGTTTGGAAACGGCCGAACAGGTGCTGGAAGTGCTTGTGGCCAATCCGGACGTGTCGGTCGGCGAGAACATTGCCGAAGAGTCGGAACAGTACGTGTCGGCGCCCTATAGAGTCCACGGATGTATTCTGACACTCATTGAACGTATGGACGAAGAGTTCACAAAAATGCTTCAGGGATGCGATGCTCACTCACCCGAGTATATCGAGCGCCTCAAAGACGAGACCCGTGTCTGCGCTATCATTGAACGCCTTCAGTCATACCTCGAGATCGCCGGCAGAGGAAACGCCAGCGAATTGTGTCGCATATATATCCTTCGTATCGATCACTTGTACTACAAGTTTGACGCAAAGGTCTTCAAGAAGAAGGAGTTGCTGAAGAAGAAGGCGGAAGAGGAGGCTAATAAAGAATTGAACGGAGAGTTTAAGAAGGTTGAGATTGTTATCGCTGACCAATCGGGTGAACCCATCACTGCTCCACAAACCGAGGAAGAGTTGATCACATCGATGGACATATTGAACCAGTTGTGCAAATATATCTATTCCCGAGATATAACCGATAGAATACGAACGCAGGCTATACTGTGCCATATCTATCATCACGCCCTCCACGACAACTGGTTTGAGGCCAGGGATCTAATGCTGATGTCGTATCTGCAGCACAACATCAATAAGTCGGACATTCCGTTACAGATTATGTACAACAGAGCACTCGTTCAGTTGGGTTTGTGTGCCTTCAGACACGGAACCATTAGAGACGCCCACACGGCTCTACTCGACATCCAGATCCAGGGCCGCGCCAAAGAACTGCTCGCACAGGGTTTGTCATCAAATGAATGGATTTGCTTTTGTTTGGTGTAATTGATTGTAATTTTGTGTTTTCAGGACTCCTTCCGCGACAGAACGAGCGAACGCCAGAGCAGGAGAAGCTGGAGAAGCGCCGACAGATCCCATTCCACAAACACATCAATTTAGAGCTCTTGGAGTGCGTGTATTTGGTGTCTGCGATGCTTCTGGAGATACCGGACGTGGCGTCCAATGAGTTCAGCGTCAGGAAGAAGATGATCAGCCGTTCCTTCTATAACCAGTTGCGCAAAAACGAAGAGCAGCCGCTCGTAGGGCTCCCGGAGTCGATGCGCGAGCACGTGGTCGCCGCCTCGAAGGTGATGCGAGTCGGCAATTGGCGCCAATGCCAGGAGTATATCATCAACGATAAGATGAACGGCAAAGTGTGGAATCTGTTCTACCAGTCGGACAAAGTCCGCGAAATGTTGGCCCAAAAGATACGCGAAGAGTCGCTTCGGGCCTATTTGTTCACCTATTCATACGTTTATGACTCCATTTCCATACAATTGTTGTCCGAAATGTTTGATTTGGAGGCGACTGTCGTCCACAGTATTATCAGCAAAATGATTATCAACGAAGAGCTGATGGCATCGCTGGACGAACCGACTCAGACCGCTATTATGCACCGAACAGAGCCGTCGCGTATTCAAGGACTGGCCCTCCAGTGCGCCGAGAAAATCAATTCATTGGTCGAACACAACGAACGGCTTTGGGAGATGAAGCAGATGCCGGTCCATCAGTACCAGTTGACCGGCGGTAGGGATTACAACCAGAACAGGCCGTACAGGAACTATAGGGACAGGGATGGACACCACGATAGGGGCGGATATCAAGACCGCAACCAATACAGACGGGGATCGCATCGACACGACCGACGCGGCGGCGGAGAGCACAGGGAATACAATAGAGACAATCGCAACAATAGAGACCATCACAACAACAGGGATCACAATAGGGATAGAGAGTAATCAATTTGCATGCCTTTTGTCGAGCAGTGCTATTATAAAACCGTTTGTTTTTCCATAAATTAAATCAAATGTCAAATTTGGATGAATTAATAATACTTTTTACAATCGTTTCCGAAATACAAGTAATTTTAATTTCAAAAAACTGTTTATTTATTAAATCTTAAGACAAATTCAATTAGAACTTCAATTTGTGAGGAAAGACGCGATTCCTTAACTGGAAATACGATCCCAAATACGCGAACAACAGTTTCTTCTCCTTATTTTTGCGGATCAATTGAATCAACTGTTTGTCGACATTGATTTGGTCGGCCTTCCGGGTCTCGTCGGGTTTCCAGGCCTCGGCTTTGGTGTCGAAGATGTCTCCGCCGTCGCCTTTCTTGCCCTTCGGTGACCGATCTTTCTTCACATTGAAGTACTTGTCGTCGATATGATCGGGAACTTTGACACCCGAGATGTCCAGTCGAGTGGAGGTCACGATCACAAACTGCTGATGCATTCGCCGCAGAGGACAGGCGTTGATCTTGAAGGGTCCGGTCACCAGAAGCAGACCCGACGACAACTGTCTCAGAAACACCACACGTTTGCCGCGATGACGACCGGCCAGAATGATCAGCACAGAGCCCGGCACTAGACCTACACGTGTCAGCAAAGGGGAGGCAAATGGCGTCAAATGTGGATCAAATGACAACAACAACGAGACAAACCTTCTTTCAGCGTTCGTTTGTGTGAATTGAATGTCTTCTGTCGCCACGCCGCGAAGAAGCCGAACAGAAGACAGCCCATCATAAAGAAAGGGAAGAAGTGGTTTTGGAATGCAAACCTCGGTAAGAAGAGCGGCGGCTAGAAGAAGTGGTGTTTGAACCCGAAGAAGAAGAGGAGTGTCTCTGCGGGCACTTTCTTACTCTTCGCCGTTCGCCTGATTTTGGCCCAAAGCGGTCGAGTCGACCGATGAGTGATCAGTTTCTTCACATTCTTCGGCAGAACAACTTTAGGCTTCTTCTTGGCGGCAGAGGCGGGCGTTTTGGCGGCCGCTTTGGGCGCCGCCTTCGCTGTCGTTGTTTTCGGTTTCGCGGGTCCGACCTGTTTGGGTGATAACCACAAGACAACACGTGTTAATTGAGACAATCAGATGATAATGAATGGCAAAAAGTATGGCAATGATAACAACACATGTGTTTGTTATCGGATAGGAGTTAAGTGTCGGCCAATTGGTGTCCGCCATCGGGTGGACACGCATTTGGTCCGACACTTAGTCATCGCGTATAAGATAATAGGGTTAGAGAATGGCATAAAAGATGAGATAATCGGAGGTTTGATTCATACCATTATTATTCACGTGAAAACACTTCAACGGAAAGGGAAGTCAATCGACAATACATTGGAGTTGTGTTTTGCCCAACGATTGCCACCACATCTGTCGACCGCTTTTGCCATTCATAGTGTTCACAAACAACGTTACAGTGGGTGGCGGGGGATGTGTTGGTTGGAGTGGAGTTTTTAATAGTTTTTTAATAATTTAGCATGTATAAAATGCTCATCTAGTAATATTATTCAATTAGCATGAAGTTAATTTAGTTAATGTTTCTATAATATTATAGTTTAGTTGTAGTTTTAAACTACTAGTGAAGTGATAACTAAATTATATACAAAACTCTTTAAAAAGTATGTAATTTTTTGACACAATAGTTGTGAACGACTCGAGTGTTTGGTTTTGAAAGTTTTTGTGTTTACGTTTGAAATGACTTTTAAATACAAGAAATCTCTTTGAGTGATACCACCGATGACTCGAAGACAATGATTAAGATCAAGGCGTTGAACGAGTCGGCGGACTCGTCCGACGAAGACGTGACACAGACTCTAGTGATGACACGCGAGGCTCAAGAACTCCCTGAAGACCGGTAGATACTCCTCCGCTAATTCTGCAACTCGCGGCCGCTTCTTCTACACCGCTTTGTTGACGAGGAGTTTGAGTTGCTGTCAGAGTTGCGCTTCTGTCGCTTTGTCTTCACGTGTTCCGAAGCGTTTTACCAGAAGTTGCGGTTCTCGACGCTCAAGAACTTGGGCTTAATTACCAACGATTTGAACTACTATTTGGACGCTCTTGAGTTGGACGCCACGGATGTGTCGCTGTGGCTGAAGACGGGCCGATTGGCTGCACGCTGTCTCGACCACCGATTGGCCAGAGAGTGCTTCGAAGCCGCGCACTCTTTGAGTCCATTCAATTGGATAGCAATCGATCGACTCATTGACACCACATTCGTATTGCACGATATCTACCATTGTTTTCAGTTGTGCTGTTCCGCCATCGATAGGGATCAGACGTACGCCAAAGCGTTGGTTCTGTTTAACGAATGTCTTGGTCTTCAGCCACCGCTCAGCAAAGATATGGATGAAAAGTATAGACAATTTGTGGGCGAATACGAGACCGAAGATTACGACCGAATTATGGCTGAAATGAGACAATTGAAGGCCAAACGGAAGCAACACTTCGACGATGAGAGACAACGACAGGATTCGAAGCGATCAAAACTATCACTTATTTTGGACGCAAACCTAAAGAATCTTACGTTTGTATCAATTGGTCTGAAGTTGAAGAATATTTACGAGAAGATTAAAAAGAATAATCTGTTCCCTTCGACACCCATTGAGATGAGCTTTGACTCGAGTTCCACCTCTTCGCAGACCGACAGCGGCGGTAATGAGAGCGGCAGCGCCAACACCAGCGCCGATGAAAGCACTTCCACCGTTGCGGCCAATCCTGAACAACAACAGAAGGATAAAGACCTCAAAGACAAAGAGACTTCCAGTGCTGGTGAGGCAGAGGTTACCAACGAATCCAATGCTAACAATAATAATAGCAAAAAACTGAAGCGATCTCAGAGTCTTCGGAACAGTATTTCCACTTCATTTCCCTCAGAATTTGTGGTATTCTCCGCGAGCTCAGCACACTTCTTATAAGAGTTATTTTCAGCACTATAACTGCTTTCTTTAGATAGCCTTTCATAAGAACTAAATGACGGCCTTAGCGACTTCTGTAGGTTTGGTCTCCTCGCGCCCATTACTCCCGAGGCCATCGCCGAGCAAATGAATGCCTACCGGTGTATCAATTTGTGTGAAAAGACTGAATCGGATCTAATAAATGCATTCTTAGAGCGAATCAAAGCGATTAAATCGCATCAGAATGTCATCAAAATTGATGACTTGATAAACGCTTATTTGTGTGAATTGGGTTCCGCCAAGAATCTAATAATTCCGGCCATTTTTCATGACCTCTACGCTATTCACCGGTTGACCAATGAGTTGCCGTGCGGTCCGCTCACTGTCATCGGCCGCGACATAGAGTTAGACCAGATATGGATGTGTTTAACAGCCAATGAACTCAAATTCAATCGAAACGAGACATTGTTTTTGACACAAATGTTGGTTCCGTTGGAACTAATGCTAACTAAAGACCAGTTTAACGAGTTTTCTGTGAGATTAGCAATGCTTAGGGGAACCAAAGAGACTGACAACGACTTCTTGAATCACGCCATCGATATTCTCTGCGATAATGAGATTGAAGTGATGGCCGCCAACAAAGTGGTGATCAAATACGCGGGCATTAAATCAATCATTGAATCGCAATCGCGTGAGAATATGTCCCAAATGATGGCCGAACACAACTTCGACCAATTGATCAAAATATTGATGTCTAAACCCGAGTCGGAGTTGACGTCCGATGAGATAGTGTTGTTAAACGACGCGATCGTGAGCTCCGAGTTATGGCAGAAAGGAATAGACATTTTCTGCACCAGAAATGAGTTAAACAGCGAGTGTTTGAATACAATCATTAAGTGTGTGGAGACCGGGAAAAGGGGTCGACTTAAACATCCGTTAGCCGTAAAACTGGTCAAATTGGCCGCAGAGGGACACTCAGTGTTGCCGTGGATTTGTTTATACTGGGGTTTGATAGCCGAGGGCTATGTGGCCACCGATGCCAAGAGTCAGATCATTAAATTCTTGAGGTTAGGCCACCAGTATCTGGGAAAACGAGGCACCTGTACGTCACATAGCGGACAGTTCCTGTTGTTAGCGTTGACTCATTTCATTGATGTGGACGTTGAGGACGAGATCTTCCGGTGCTTCACGTGTTTATACAATTTCCCGGTCCGACGGGCTGTGAACCCGACCTCTGCCTCGTCGTCCAACGTTCACAGATCGCCACACATTTCACTCAAATGGGAATATTGTGAACAATTGTATCATTACTTCGCGCCCGAAGAACTTCCAGAGTATGACAGTCTCGTCCGACAGACGGGTATCACTCAAGACATCGAGGGTTTATTGCTTCGGATATTAGAGTTAGTGCCGCAACACTTGCAGCCCAACAACAGAACCGATACAATCACTAAATACATTGATAGCGGAGACACAATTCCCGACGACTATAGCAAAGAGACGACACATATAACAGAAACCATTTACTATTTATTGGCTGATTATTACTTCAAGAATAAGGAGTTTAAGTGAGTGTTAAATGGGGTAAAAGAAAGTTTTAACTAACGTTTGTTTCGCTTGTTTTGGTTGACAGCAAAGCGCGTGAGTTTTATATCTTGGATTTGACTCTAAACGTGAATCGGTTTGACTCGTGGGCGGCGTCGGCGCTCACGCGTACCTTTGAAGTGGACCAACAGTTAATATCCGTAAGATTTTTCATATCATATAACGAATTGATTTTGTGTTGTATTAAACAAATTGTCTTAAAGGGTGAAAACATTGAACTATCGTTATTTGAGTTAACAATGACTGGTCAGCGGTGTTTCCAACGGGCGTTGTTGTTGGAGCCGACGGCCAGCAAACTATGGATAGAGTTCGGACACTTCGTGTACAACATATCGAGCACTGCTCTCCGAATGCGAAAGATATCGCTATTTAATCCACAGATGGAGTTGAATATAGAGTGCGAAGATTCGATCAAAATCTCGAGAAATTGTTTCGAAATCGCTTTGAACGCCGACACCGGCGAAGAGGAGCTGTGGCTTCCGTACTATATGTTGGGAAAAGTGATGGAAAAGAATAGCAAGACTTTAGGCGCCAACTATCTATTGGCCGCCATTCGCTACTATGAATGGGCGGAACTGTGTCTCTACGTTGACGGCACGTCATACCCGAAGAAGATCCAGTACTACAACCCGCCGTCTCTGGCGGTCGAAGCGCTGGAAATTCATTACCGAATCCACGCTTCGGTTCTTAAGTATTTGACGTTAACTAAGAAATTCTCGACGCGAGTCCTCAAACGGCTCAAAACACATCTGATTCGTGCGCTTCGGTCGCCGTTTAGCAAACAGTCCACTCCGTCGTCGGCAACGTCTGCGGCGCCCGTCGATCACGATTACGCCACTGGCAGCAGATGTGCGACCGGTCTGTCGCGCTCTCTGTCCACCGACTCTGTCGGCGAACTGATGACCGATTTGGTGGATGCGGTCTCTCTTCGTGACGAACGGGTGGACGGCATTCGGCTTAAGGATGAATTAGTTTTGATGTGTTTGAAAGCAATGCATAGATGTGCCAACAGATATCCCGCACACTATAAGTCCATCTATCGGTTGGCGCACTATTATCACCACAAGAACAACAATATTATGGCCAAACAGTTACTCATCGGACAAGTGATGCAAAGATCTCAAGAGAGTCAGTCGGGCGCGGGTGACGGCCACGACTTTAACGATATGGTTAAACAGATCCCCGGTTTGTTTGCCGAGAGAAAGACAAACAATTTATTTAACGGCATTTGGCGGATACCGATCGACGACATCGACAGACCGGGCAGTTTCGCCGCCCATATGTTTCGGTCGACATTCCTATTGGTCAGAGTTTGCACCTTCACTGATGACTACCAAACGTTGTGTACGATTGCCATTCAGTTGAGCCGAACGCCTGAAATCGGTAAAAAATTTCTGAGAGACTCTGACCGTCAGATTCTGGCGAAACTGGCCTTTGATTCGTGCCATTTGTTACTCAAATCACACTTCGAGTTGAGTCCCGCCAGAGATCGCGTTATTATGGATGTGCAGCGCATTTACGACCGGTTGACCAAAGCGGGCGTATTTGTTGCTGAAGCCAATGCTATGGTTAAAGATTTTTTGCCACAATATCGGCGGTAAAGAGTTTTGTATTTTATACAACAATTTGTTTCATTCATGTAATCATATGTGAATATAATTTGGGTTTTAATTAATTAAATGTCTGTAAATTAATGTGAAATAGAAGTATGAAATTGTTTAATAAAACATTATTTTTTACAAAATAATTTAAAATGTTATTAATTAACTTTTAATGTAACCGTAATATAAAATACAAGTTCTGTACGTTTGACGCTCTGATGGCAAACATTTCACAATAGGCTCTCATTTACTAATTAAACACAAAATCAAATCCAAATTGTAATATAAAAGTCATTTAGTTTTTGTGAGATTATTGACTGACAAAAAACAATGTAATCGTAGTTTGAGAATAAATTCAGTCAATTATTGTATGAAAAGTTATCACAAAATAATAGTTTGGAAAGCATTTGGTTTTAATGACAGAAAGAAAACATGAAAAACAATTGATTTTTGAGATAATTTGTGGTATTCTTTGATAAGTAGTGGAGACTGTCTTTGAATGTCACTCCACTACAGATGTCTTGACTGTCACTCTAATAGGTCTCGATTTTGATGACTCGGATCTTCTCGTCATTGATGAGAACAACTGCCGCTTCGTTCAGACCATTGCAATACTTGGATGAACTGAAGATTGTCGTGCATTTGCCGCCCATATGATAGGCAAAGCCGTTGGGAATGACTTCGTGGGCGCGGATCACGTGAGACAAGTTATTGATTGCGAGGAATCGGTCCAAAGCCTGTTCGCTGAAGTAGAAAGCGGTTCCTCTCTTAGTGTTGGGCAGAAAGCCTGTGATGTTATTACTGACTGTCCCGCCGGCGGCCGCACCACTACTAGTGCCCGGAGTCGTGCCGTTCGCGCCATCACTTCCACCACCGGCTTGTCTTTGCTGGAGAAGCAGCTGTTGATAGTCTCTGAACTCTTGAGCTGTCACGGGATCGTTCCACAGCATCTGCCACGCGAGTGGACTCTGGCTCTCGGGCTCTTCGAGGGGTGAGGGGATGTTCAGCAGCTCTTCCACCCGAAGACTAGTGGTAGGAATGCCTCCGTGAGCGCAGTATATGCTCTCATCAACGATGGCCGCGACTGGCATCACATCAAACACGAAATTGAACTCATCCCAGAGCTTCCCTCCAGCGCTCGCCTCAAACTTTTCGAGACATTCGTTGCGAAACGTGAAGCTCTGCTGCACTGACCGGAGCTCGTGATTACCCCTCAGGAGGTAATACTTCTCCGGACACAACACTTTGAGACACAACAGGTATAGAATGCACTCAACGCTGTGCTCTCCTCTGTCCACATAATCGCCGAGATATAGGAAACTCGTGGCCACACAAGTCGGTCCCATTCGCCACAACGATCCGGACACAACACTTTGAAACACAGGAGGTATAGAATGCACTCAACGCTGTGCTCTCCTCTGTCCACATAATCGCCGAGATATAGGAAACTCGTGGCCACACAAGTCGGTCCCATTCGCCACAACGAGCGCTCGTAAACCATGAGGTCGTGAAAGTTGCCGTGAATGTCGCCCAACACATACACCGGTGACGACACCTTCACTACTCGCGCCTCTTTTTGGAACTGCTTTTTGGCCAAATCGCAGATAATTTTAATACTGTCGAAGAGTCGGGTCCGCGAAGTCCTCGACGCCCACGATATGGGATTCGCTTTGGGGTCGACAGCTGTGGTCTGAACGCCAACGGCCGGCAGTCCCGGAACGGCACCCGAATTGGCGAATGTCCGCAAAGCGTCCAACAGTTGATTGGCTGTCGTCGAGCCGATGAACGCCAGATCCGAGAGTCGTCTCAAATGAGAGGGCATTCGCTGCACATCTGATTGGTTTCGGTTCTCTTGCGGGTCGACTATAAACCCGTCGCGACTCAAACGCACGGTATGTGCGGCCAAAGTATACTTCTTGAGTCGACAGCGAAGACACACCCCCTGAACGGCCGCCGCCTCTCTCTGTCGGTCCGCGCCTTCTGTCAGGTCTTTGACTGATCTTTTCGTCAAACGAATCGCTTCGTAGATCTGTTTGGTTTGGATCTGTTTTATTGGACCGACTGTTGAGCGCAACAACTTTGAGGTCCCCCTAAACTTCTTCTCTCCAACACTTTTGACGAATGTCTTGGAAGTAATGGTTTTCGTCGAATCAGTCATTCCCATCGCTTCGCTCATCTGTTTCACCTCTGCCTCCAGACCCGTGCCGTCCGACTGCTGTCCGTTCGCGCGCCGGATATCTCGCGCCAAACACGCGACGGAATCGACGTCCAGTCCCGTCGATGAGTCGTCTTTGAGGTAATAATAGTACAAATAATAGGACCGAAGTTCTCCGGTGTGTCCGCCGTGTTGTACTTTGCTGTCCAAAGAGCACAACCCTAACAGCCATTCATTGAAACTCATATAAGCCTTGCATTGACTGAATGACCGAAACAGCGATCGGTAATCGTTAACCAATGGCTGATCCACTGCCGGGAGACCCACTTTCTTCATGTAATCCGTGAATGAGTAGACATTCAGGTATTGCGAGGGAAACGTGTGTTGACTGTATTGGCCGTAAAGCTCTGTCACTTCTTTGTCTGCAAACCCCGCGTCCTTTACTAACTCTTCCTGAAATGTCTTCGGCTCTCCGTCTTTGGCCACACATTTCATGGCGTCTCTGATGCAGAACTCGCTGTAATTTTCAACATTTTGACTCTTTTTGATGAGAACGTCGACAAAAATGGCCGGCTCTGGTCCCCACACGTCGGGCACTTTGCCACCCGTCAGCTCATCCACTGTCACCCATTTCATTGTCTTCGATGTTTGGCAGCAATTGGTCGGGAATTTTCCGGACTCACCGGTAAGTTCGGTTCTGAAGACACATCGGGTGATGAAATCAAAGTATTGAGGCATTTGGAGCCGATATATGTGAACGAGTTGTGGGGATCTGAACGACAGGTAATTCTTTTCTCTCTTTGCACTCACTTTCAACGCTGTCTTCAAGAGTCTGACCGTCGAGTCGTACCAACTCTCGCCGTTTCTGATGGCACTCACGGGAAACCAATAGCCCTTTTGCGGACCGATTTTACTCAACGCTAACTTCTGATGTTTTGGACACCATATGATCGCAGAACAGGTGTCGAAGAGATCGCGTCCGTAATTGGTTACCAACCCGTCTTCGGGCGACGGCTTCTGTGATGTGAACTTTCCCGCAGTCTTCGTGTCCACCGAAGCGGTCGACTCCATAGACGGCGTCCGACCCGTTGTTATCCCCGTCTGAGACCGACTCGACTTCACTTCTTTCCCTCCTTTGTCTTCCTTTTTTGACATTCTTCTGATTCAAGTCTTTTGATCTGATTCTTCGCTTGTCTTTAGTTTTTACCACAAATTGATCACAATTTTAATTAGTTTTTGTTTTCTACAGTAACTGTCAATATCTGTCAATAAGTAATAAACCGTTTATAAAGTTTTGTTTGAATTTAAATCACTTTTAAAAGTGTATAACTATTTCGTGAATTCATTATTTGTTAACAGAAAATGTAACAAAAGTTACACAACTGTAACAGAAAACAGTTTTTTAAGTTTTATGTAGTTTTCAGCACTTTGTCTAACAAATTGTTAGTAACAATGCATTCATTAATGCATTCAATACTGTAATCAATAATACTTTTCACGAGATATTCATTACAACTCTTTTGAGAGAATTTTGATTTCATTTCAAACCATAAATTCGTTTACTTTTGAGAATTCATTTCAAAGTCCATTGATTTTCAGGTATTCATCGCTTCTAACCATAGGTTTGGATAAAATGCTAATCCCTTTGGCTTTCGGTAAATGAATGAATCAATTGATAGATTAACTCACAATATGTTTTGTTTGTCAATAGTTTTAGTTTTGGTTTTCATTCAATTGGGAAATGGATTGAAGTTTTGCGAGAAATTCAAAGAAAACAATTACAAGATATCTTACGGTTACAGACATATGATCTCAGAAGTGGACGCTTATCGACAGTATGTAGTGATTGGACACGACTTCTGGTCATTGAAACACACGGACAACGCGGACGACAAACTCAAGAGTGTGTCCATCGAAGTGGAGAGTAGTGGACGCAGCGATTGGTTTGGAGCCAACTATTCAATGGCTATTTGTCTGTTGTTTAATGGAAAGGAAAGCTCTGAAGCACAGGGAGATCACGGCATTACTGGACTCATGAAGGTATGGATTATATGAGTTTCAGAAGCAAATGATTGATCGATACATTAATTTGAAACCACAAACAGACGAACAGTAAAGACATCGATTGGGCTCTTCTGGACAAAGATCTTAAAATTATCAAACGATTGAAGAGAACGACTCTTCCCTACGATATGCCGGCGACTATGGCTTGGGTTATGAGTTACCAGAAGACTAAACCCGAGTATCAAAACCTCAGACATGTGCTCTTATGGGACGGCTCTCAGATTACGGGCCGTTTCTTCGGTGACGGATATGATAAGCCAGAGAACAGCGAAGACGGAGACACTCGTTATAAACTGTCCGGTCTTTACAAGAAAATGCTTTTCAATCGCAAAGTGATTGCAGTCTTAGGTCAGAGAGCGGACGGACAGAAAGATGACGACTCGTTGATAGTTTTGTTTCAATTTGATCACCAAATCAAGTATTGTTACGCAGATCTCAGTCTAGACATAATGCCAGAAGTGGTCAGAATTTTTTTAATTCAATTCATTTTATTCCCATTTAATATAATTTGTGTCTCAATTGATGTGTGAATTGTGTGTTTAGTGCGAAGACAAGAATCTCAAGACACTTATTGACTGCAATCCTAATCCTCCTCCGACTCCCACTCCAAGTGCCAGTCCTTCGCCGTCCCCTTTGATTGCATTAGTGATACTCGTTATCCTCATTCTTGTCTTAGTTGTTGTCATGTATTTTGTCTATAAGTGGTTCACAAAAGGCAAAACCGATGACAGTATGGAAAACACAATTCAATTCAATTAAAATGAAATACAAATTAATGATTTGTATTATTTGACAGATTCTGGTCAACAGAGCAACGTTTCGGCAGTCAGTGACGCCCAGAGATCCGGTATTTTACACATAGTTTTCAAATTAAAATACAATTATAATATTTATAATAATTATAAAATTCCTATGAATACAGCACTCGTCACACAGAAGAAGGGCACGAGTGTTGTCCCAAACCCGACGACTCCTACAAAATAATAATCTTATTATTATTTTCATTCAATTCTTATTGTTTTTAATTTTACCGAAACTTTTCATTTATATTATTTGTTTTATTCATTGATTTAATTTTAAATTCTGTTTATTTGTTGTTTTATTAGTTATATTTTTAATTAAATTTATTACTTATTTTATGTGTTAATGTAATCGTAATGTAATCGTCTACTAATTTAATGCAAATAACATTAATGTAAAAGCATTTTAATTGAATTTTATGTTAACAAAATATTTAAAAACTAAATTAATAAAATATATACTTTTACAAAGAAATCAAATCTTATTTTAAATCATTCAAAGACTGAATAATAGTTTTATAAAAATCTTAAAACTTTTTAATACTTTTAACATAATTGAGACGATTTGTGATATTTAGTTAGCTGTCAAAAATGGTAATTATAATTTATCAATTTGTCAATAAGTAATAAACAGTTTATAAAGTTTTGTTTGAATTTAAATAAGTTTTAAAACTGTTTCGATAAAACACTTTGGCTTTTGGTAAATGAATGCATAAATTGACGATTAAATCCCATGTTTTTCTTTGCGATATTTCTTGTAAACTATAACTAAGGCTTAAATCGATTGAATCAATGATAAGTGATTTACGTTAAGATAGTCTTAACCATAGATTCATGTCTTGAATTGTTGCCAAAGTGTTGGCAAACAATATATTTAATACAATAACGACAGGAAATGAAAACTTTATTTGTAGTAAAAGTTTTGCCAATAATTGACGTAAACTATGGAAACGAATGAATGTTTTGTTTTGAAATATTTTTGTGTAAATAATAAATGAATTGACGATTGAATTGAATGCCAAACAAAACCAAAACAAACAAACATTTGAAACAACGATACCATTGAATGATATCACCATAAAGTGAGCCACTATTGAGCGCCACTCCAGAGGAATGGATGAAGAGATGAACGACGGGTTGGAAGTGTTGGTCCGTCACCTGCGAGACGACAACCAGAGGTTGGAAACGATGTGTCAAATCAGTGAACAAATGAACCGTATTTTGAATTCAATGGCAAATGAATGCAAATGTCATTCAAAGCATACAATGGATACACATTTGAGCCAAAGATTAAGTGGTCTTCGAGTGAAGTACCAGACGCTGAAGGAGGACCGCGAGGCCAATGGACACCACTGTATGCCCGCATCGCCCGCAACACCACTCGATGGCAGCGCCGACACCGCCGATGACGACGACGACCACAGTCTCTGCGGCGACGACAGCAGTGGTTGTCATAAACCAGTGGTCAGTCAGAGCGGGAAACTGACGCCAAGGAAGACATCGATGGTTACGATGAATGAAGACATCACTCATCACTCGTTTGAGTCGATTGTCGACTCCATTGATGCCATCACTGATAATCACAACAACTACTTGATTACCATCGAAGGCATTGACGATACCTTCTATAGGGATCCGACTCAAGACGTGAAGTTGGAATTTGTTTTGCCGCCGATGGACGACCAGTTGGTCACCGCCACCATCGAGACTGAGACACACAGTAATAGTATGACCGGCGCTGACGTTATCAACGATCTAATCGATGACAGAACGAAGTCATCGAATGCCAAACAGAAGACAACTAATGGCAAGAAATCTAATAATAAAAGTAAAGCAAATGCGAGATCAAAGAGTCCCAAAAATGCAGACAAAACACATAATAATGTAAATAATATTAATAATTGTAATAATAATAGGAATTGTAATCGTGTTAAGTGCGAGTGGCCCGGTATGCTCTCTCTCTCTCTCTCTCTCTCTCTCTCTCTCTCCCTCTCTCTCTCTCCCCCTCTCCCTATTTATATACAATATGTTATATACAATTCACTATCATTTGAATACACTTTATATAACAATCATTTACACAATCAATAAATATAACGTCAAAACAACACTATTAAACTTACTTCACATTTAATTTACAAAATATAGAATTTAAACAAAAATATGTAATTTCATACAAAAAATTATACAAATATATACACCGATCAAAACAGCCATCACTTGCTATGCGTTCGCTTGAAATGAGTTCTCATCGCTTGTTTTGATTGAAACCGTTTGTCGCACGCCGTGTGCGGACACTCGTGCGGTCGCTCTCCCGTATGCTTCAACATATGGGTCTTCAAGTGATGGCTCAACCGGAATGTCCACTCGCACTGCGAACACCTGTAGAGTCATACAAATGGCAAACATTTAATACTGTTTGAGTAAACAATTGGCTCATAATTGATGTCCAAATAAGACGACATACTTGTATGGCTTTTCGCCGGTGTGTCTCAGTTTATGGCTCTGAAGCCGATTCAGATAACACGCTTGATATTCACCTAAACATAGAAATACATTATAATAGAGATGTTTATAAGGGGTGTTGTCGTACATCCGGGCCAATTGCAACGGAACGGCTTCTGTCCGGTGTGTTTGTCGCTGACGTGAACCGTGAGCTGTGTTTTCCTGATGAACGCGGCGTCGCATTCGTTGCACTTAAAGCGCCGATTGTCTGAATGAGTGTTTTGGTGGACATCGAGGGCAGCCTTCGTCGCGTACGTCTTCGTACAGCCGGCGCTCTGACACTGGAATGACTTCTCGCCCGTATGTCTGACCATATGTACCGATAGGTTGTATTTGTCCCGGAATTCAAGTGAACAGCCTTTCAGTTGCATTATATCAGCCGTAAGAAAGAAATCAACATTTAATTAAAATCATTCATAATGAGAGAGAGAGAGAGAGAGAGAGACTAACCTGAATGTCTAACATAATTTTAATTATTAAATAAAATAGTTTAAATAAATATAATTTTAAACAATTTGCAGTAATTTTTATACATTTATTATAAAAACGTTATATTTATTGATTGTGTAAATGATTGTTATATAAAGTGTATTCAAATGATAGTGAATTGTATATAACATATTGTATATAAATAGGGAGAGGGGGAGAGAGAGAGAGGGAGAGGGAGAGAGAGACTAACCTGAATGTCTAACATAATTTTAATTATTAAATAAAATAGTTTAAATAAATATAATTTTAAACAATTTGCAGTAATTTTTATACATTTATTATAAAATCCAAAGAAATGTTGTAAGTTTTAAATTACATTAATTATTAAAAATAGTATTTTTATTCAGGAATATAACACAAGACATGTCATAAACTCATTTCTGAAGGTAACCATTGTTTTGTCCGCCGGAGGCCTAAACCAAAGACATAGGCATTGATTAATATAAAAATGAAAAACCAATGAATAGACACTTACGGCGTCCGCGTCCACACTCTCGAGGGTCTCGACGTTGGGGTCGAACTCGACTTCAGGACAGGGAGGAGTGGGCTCTAACATACGTGCCCTCACGTGCTGTTCTCTATCGATCTCATATATGGGTCCCTCAACTATCTTCGACTCGACGGTCGGTTTGTGAATGATTTCTCGCGTTTCGATCACTTTGGGAACAATCCTCTCAAACACTTGTCTCTCTTTAATGATCTTCCGTCTGATTATCATAATCGGACGATTCATACGCTGGTTAACAATCTTTCGCTTCTGCATAAACACACGGCGTCTGGTCTTCGTTATGGTCTTAATGCTGGTCACGACGTATACCTCGGTGTAGGTCTCGATCTAACCATTGATCGCAAGGCATGATTGTAGAGTATTATAATGTTATAAATTTGAATGAAATAGAAATTATTAATTTAAATTTTAGGCTTAATTTATACGTTAATTATTACATAAAAATCCAAACATAAAGAATATTTGACATAATATTTAAGATGTAATTTGAGTGAAACAAAACACAAACCGTTTCTTTGCGATTGGGTTTGAGATCCTTTTCCATAGACTTGACATCCGTTGGCTTCAAACCGACGCGTCGGACGATTTTACACTCGGACTCCTCTTTCTTACGGTTAATCATCTTTATGTTTGGCGTCACGAGATTCGCGTCTAAACTCCTGAACTGAAGCTTTTTCTTACAAGTCTTGGGCGGATCCAGACTTCTCATGTGCGGCACATCTCTCCACCCGCAGTCTTTCTTATACTCACCGAAGCCGTCGTCCATTGATCGCTGTTGTGGTCGCTGTTGTTGTTGTCGTCGTTGTCCAAGAGATCGCATTCTGGGCCCTCCCGTCTCGCCGTCGTCTATGTTATTACTCATTGGTATCCCATATCCGGCCGACTCAAGACTCGGCGCCTCCATTTGGTTCACTTGCTTAACGCCCAAGTATTGGTATTGTGCCAATAGTTGGCCGTCTAATTGTAGTTTAATTATTAAATATAAGTTTAATATTAACGTAACATCTATTATAAGACTTACAATTAATGCAAATGATAATTGCGATCAAATATTTAATGACCATTTTTCTTAATTTATAAATAAGTTACAATTTTAATGAATCCTTTATTTATCGATTAAAAATTGTCAAATATGGATTTCTGATAGTTTGTTAATTAATTATTAGCACATCACTAGATATTTTATATTAAAAAATTAATTTTTAATTTAATTAATGAGTAAAAACATAATATTAATTAAAATATGAAATTCAAGTCAATGTTTGGAAAAAATTAAATATTAATTATATTTTTTATGAATCAATTTTACACGTACAAATTTTAAACCATAGTATTTTAAACATAACAATAAATATATTAATCGATTAGCCCTGCCTAAATTTAAGCACAGGTGTGCCGTATGCCGTTTGACCGCTCACTGCGTGGAGCCCTCCACCACCACCACCCGGTGGACACGGAGTTTGTGTCTATTGAATCAAAATGCAAAACATTAATCAGTTTTTTATTAAAATGAACAAAACTTTGTTAAAATGAATATATCTTACGTTTAATGATCTCATCTGAGGTGCGCCGCGAAATGGTCTGACGGGTCCGTCTTCGTCGCCAACCATAGCGGGTCCTTCGAGTGCCATTTGGATGGGCGACTGCGGTGGCGGTTGTGGTGGCATGAATTGTGGTGGGGGTTGACGTTGAAAGGGCGGAGGATTGTATGGGTTGTATTGTTTGGGAGGACCCGTTCGTCGTGGGGGCACACGTCTGGCCACGTCGTCCTCGTACTCGTCGACGCACTCGTCTAAGTCGTTGCTGTCGAGGGCCTCTTTGGGGCCCTCCTGTATACTGAAAATAATCTTTGGCTTATCGATCACTTCTCGCGTTTCAATAATCTTCGGCACAATTCGTTCAAAAGTTTGCTTTTCTTTAACAATACGTCGAGTGATCACAAGAACCGGTTTAGAGATCTTTCGCCTAATTTTTCGGCGTTTTTGAATGTAAATCCGTTTTCGGGTCACTGTTTTGAATCGAGGCCTTTGAGTCCCCATATGGCCAGACTTTCCACCCTTTTAACACATTCAACAACAAGATTATCGCTTATTACAAATGGTATTCAAACCATACTTTAAGACTTAAAGTTTAACTCAATTATAAATGTAATCAAATGTATAATACTATTAATATTATACTGTTAAAGAAAATTATATAAAACTTATAAATTAACAAGATTACTAACTTATTATTTGTACTCTAGCATTATTAGTACATAAATTTAGCACAAACCTTGCCAGCATGACCAGGAGTACCCATGCCATTTTGGCCCTTTTGGCCCTGTTGACCCATGCCGTTTTTACCATTTTGACCCTGTTTGCCATGTTTGCCAGTTTTGCCCCCCTTGTTGTCAAACAGGCCTTTCTTATCGTCATAATCGTCGTCGTCGTCATCCAATTCACTCTCACAGATAGGTTTCTCCTATTGTTGGAGAAATCAATTGTCATATTTGTAACAAAATTAATAAAACAACAATTTTCTCACATTCAATGATCTGAATGTTCCGAACCCTTCGCCGCCAAAGTCATCGGGAATTGGAACCGGAGGTCGTGGAGGTGGAGGGGGTGTCGGGTCGGGTTCATCCCACGGAACGGTAATCGTTTCGATCTCACATCACATGTAAAATATAATGTACGGTAAATGTATGCGCAAATCAGATACAAAATTATATATAATAATGTGTGGCAAAAATGTCGGCACACATGGGCCACGTCTTGCCCGCCCGCCCCACTAAATACATACAATATGTGTGGTCTTGGGCTCCATATTAATAATTTCTGTGCATTCAGTTGCGGGCAAATTGTGTTTCTCGACCTTCTGTTTGCCCTTGATCTTTTTCCTGCGGATCAGTCGGACTCGAGCTCTTTGTGGTATAACGTTGACAGTCTTAGGACTGGCCACTGATTTGCAGTCATCTTCGGTGACGGTCTTCACCTCGGGTTCGGGTTCGCAGTCATCCTTTCCATACGTAAACTTCGGGTTTGGATTCGCCATATCTTCGTCCGCTATATCCATATTTACCCAACAATCGATCCCTTCATTTGTATGCAAATTGTAGTCAATTTATAGAAATAAAGTGTTAATCATAAAACTATTTAATAGATTTTCATACCATTGAGATATAGGAGACATGTGAGACATATTATGGCTAAACGAACCATCATTTTTGACGATTGTTTAATTAATTTGGTGTTAAATATGATAATTTGTTTCAAATATCTAAAATGTCTCCCATCAGCGTAATTAAGTAATATTCATTTGTTAATTAATTTTGTAATTAATCTCAATACATTTATTTTCGCCAAATTTGAATGTATTAATACTATTAATTAACAATTTATATATAATGTTATAAATTTATAAGATTTAGTCAAAACCTCTCAATGAAATTCTTAAGTTTTTATTTTTATAATAAAACAATAATAAATAAATGATACAAATTAATTGAAACTTTATAAAACAAAATATAAACTTCTAAATAATAATATATGAGAGAAATAATGACTATTTAAACCACTGATGACTTAAGACGTGTGCCATATCTATTCGGGTTCGGGTATTGATATCCAATTGTTTTTGCATTAAATCCTTGCAATCATTGCTAATCGAGTTTTTAGTGATTTGTATCGGAGTCTTACTGTTTGGGTCGAGTTTTGCCAGTTTTTGCAGCAAAGCGTTACTAAACGGCATCTTATTGTTGACCATAGCATTAAATCCTTGCAATCATTGCTAATCGAGTTTTTAGTGATTTGAATCGGAGTCTTACTGTTTGGGTCGAGTTTTGCCAGTTTTTGCAGCAAAGCGTTACTAAACGGCATCTTATTGTTGACCATTATATAGAGGACGACACCCATCGACCAGACGTCGGTCTTAAAGGCATCGTAGGGTTGGGCGCGAAGCACTTCCGGCGCCGCATAGAAAGGACTTCCACAGTACGTGTCTTTCAACACCTTTTCTCCGGTCTGTGTATTGAAACAAGAGGTCGAGAAACCAAAGTCCGTTAACTTAGCGATCGTTTTGTCCGCATTTAACAATACGTTCTCCGATTTGAGGTCCCGATGAGCCCAACCCCTGCCGTGGATGTACTGCAGAGCACTGGCGATGCCTTTGTACAGTATTTTCGCTTTTGGCTCCGGTATACCCGACTTATAGGCGCTATCCTTCAACATATCAAACAGGTCTCCGCCGTCCGCCCTCTCCATAAACACGTACACAGTATTAGTGATGAGAATAATGTCATAGATTTTAATTATAAACTCGTGTTTCAAAGTGTCCAATGAATACAACTCTTTGGGCAGGAATTTGTTGCGATAGTCGGCAGAAGTTTTGGTCAAATCAATGATTTTGACGGCTGTGTTGATTGTGGACCCGTTGACAGTCGCCGAGCCGTTGCACACGAGTCCGTATTTCCCCGAATTCAATAGCGTTGATATCGTATAGCCTTTCTCTTGGAGTCTCTTCTCGTGATGCGGAGGAAAGTCATACTTATCGCCCGCTTTTGACATATCGCCGAGCCGTTGCACACGAGTCCGTATTTCCCCGAATTCAAGAGCGTTGATATCGTATAGCCTTTCTCTTGGAGTCTCTTCTCGTGATGCGGAGGAAAGTCATACTTATCGCCCGCTTTTGACATGTTTTGCACACAATATTGTCGTTGAGATATAGTTTTCAAATTAATGTTTAGTGATTTAAATTTATAATAAATTATAGCTCGATGTGAATAATAATCAATTCTCGATTGCATTGATGTGTAAAACACGCGATTGAATGAAATAATGATTTTATAAAATACGATAATCTATTTAACACAATAATGTGTGAAATTATCAATAAGTATTGAATATAAAGTTAAGTTTTATTGAATTGGAAAATTAAATATTAAATATAAGCATTTCTTTTTGTTATATCTATGTTTGCAATGAAAACAACTAATTAGTGACTAAATATGATTTGAATTATAATAAATGCCATTAACTGTTAGCTCATTGTATTGAGTGAAGTGATGGCAATCAATGCAAAACTGCTTTCACTGCGGGAATCAATTCCAATACAAAAACGTCCAAAAGTTTTACAAAAAAAAGTTTTTCCAATTTTGCGGCAAATCATGCATTGAATCCATAAATGATGTCATATATAGTGTGAGTGAGTGTTGGAAGCGATGATTGCATTAGATTTTAGAGGCATTTGTTTACAAACGGTGTTCACAAACGCGTCGACAAAGCATTCAATCAATGATTCATTCAAATGACTGTTAAATCTATTGTTTTGTTACTCAACGCGTCGTTAGTGTTGTTGTGTTTGACTTGAGATCTGAAACCGTTATTACAATTAATGCATTCATTTGTGTCTCAAATAACACACCTATGAGTGAAGAAAACAATAGCTATGTGTCCAACCAATGGGAGCCGTCTTCGGCCTCCACTCCCACCACGACATCGACGGCCACTTCAGACACTCGGAGGCGAAACCACGAGAGGGGAGACGGAGTGGACGGACAGCGCTCCACAAGAGGCCACTCTCTGTCGCGCAAAGGCCTGCATATCGACAGCTCAGCCCTCATGTGTCAGAACGGGTGCGGCTTTTATGGCAACCGCGAGTGGAGTGGCTTCTGTTCCCTCTGTTATAAGCAGATCCGACACAAAGAGACTTCGGTTATGAGTCCAATCAATCGATGGATTTCACCCGAAATGCTGTCACTTCGGTCGTCGTCTTCGGCCTCTTCTCTGTCGCGTTCGTCGACGGCTTCGTCGGCCAACTCGTCGCCGGCCAACACCAACACCGGGTCCGCGCACTCGACGCCCGCACTCTTCACGAAGTTTGAGGAGAAGAAGAGACAACAGAGCGATAAGAAGAGCAAAACGTTGAAATCGATATTCAAACGCGCGGCCACTTTCCGCGAGTCGAAGAATAGCAGCGCTTCCAACAGTGATAAAAGCGTGTCGACGCCCACCAGCGCTCTCCAGTCGTTGACCGATCGACAGCTGTTCTCATTCGACACGTTATCTCTGGGCGAAGAAGTGGTGGCGAAGTTTCTGCGCGAAGCAGCCATTCTTGACATCAAACGACAAATCAATAAAATTGTTGACAAAATGAATAAATCGGCGAATAAGGCGTCTATTGAGGAGATGTCGGAACAGATCCACGACTTCTATCAGATGATGAGCACTCGGTTCACGAATAACCCGTTCTATCGCGAGGCCAGTAGTGAACAGATCGAACAGTTGGTCGACTTTACCGAACGATATTTGATGCAACAGTTGTACCAAATGTTGTTCACACGTATCCAACACGAAGAGGAGGACAGGGATCTGGCGCTTCAGAAGCGGATCCGTTCACTCAATTGGGTTATGGCTCAGCACTTGGACGTCGACATCAATCTAAGGCATCCGGAGATCAAAGATTTAGTGGACAAAGCGATCACAGAAGTGATTGAAATGGACTCAAAACAAGTGCCGCTCGAGAAGTTAGAGTGTATTGTGAACTGCAGTAAAACGATATTCAAATTACTGCAAGTGAATAGTCAAGAGCCGGTGTCTGCCGACCAATTCCTGCCGGCGCTGGTCCTCATTGTGATCAAAGCGAACCCACCGTTACTCCAGTCTAACATCAAACTCATCACTCGCTTCAGTACACCGTCGCGACTGATGTCTGGAGAGGCGGGCTATTACTTCACGAACCTGTGCTGCGCCACCGCTTTCATCGAGAATATAACCGGCGATTCGCTTAATATGACTGAACAGGACTTCCAGTCGTACATCACGGGTGAAGCGCAACCGCCCGGCGCTTACCAACAGTCGACCTTTTTGTGTGAAGCGTTCCGTATAATGAGCTCTAATATGGCTATGCTTTCCGACCTCAACGACCGTCAGACCAAATTCGAGACACAAATGAGTGAACTCACGGACAGTATTCACACGTTTCGGGACGACATGTTGAAGAGGACTCATAGCGCACTCAAACCACTGCCGCCGACCGTCTATTCGGTTCCGCCAGACGTCGACATTAAGTACATTCCGACCGCTTTTCGCGAACGTATTCTCAATCAAAGGACACAAACCGAAGGCATTCTTATAGATTTGGGAAACGACGCGAACACCGCTGAAGACAACAGCGACGTTGCGGTCGATGGCAACCACATCGATGGCAACACCGGAACCGATGCTCAAGTAGTTGAGGGCGAAGACACGTTATCGCCGGAACAGCATTTACCACCACCACTGGCCCCAGAGATACTTCAAAAGCCATAACCGGTTACTAGTTTTTTGCCCTTCAATTCATAGTCAACGGCACATAACGGGTGGTCAAAAGCTTTGGCCTTTAACAACACGGGTTACAAACCTGTCCAAAGCCCCCATCACTCGATATGTGTTGAATATAGTGTTTGTATTTTAAGTTTGATTTAACAATAATTCGTGTTTTTAGAAAATTCAATATTTTATTCGTTGTTCAAAAGTGCAGTTGTGTTTCACTATTGTATAATCACTTTGCTTTCCTGCCTCACACTTCAATAGGCCCGCATTGAATAGGGGGTGGGGTGTAGAGAGGGTGGGTGTATATTGAGGGGCACTAACACTATATTCTTAAGCCGAGTGTGAGGCAGGAAAGCCAAGTGATTATCCGTATGTGAAACACATTGTAAACCAATTACACATAAATTATTTATAAAACGCTGACTTAAACCCATATATAATTAATTAATAAAACCCACTGATTGTTAAATAAGTTACTCATATTAATAGCTTCGACCAAATAGTGTGAAGTATTTGGGCTTTGATTTGCAGTGAGGGTTAATGCACGCCATGTCTGGTGTGACGGGCTTTGGCTGATCTAACGGTATGCACAACGACTTGGCGCCCATCAGCGGTCCCGAAGCGTCCGACACGTCCTCTTTGGCGCTGTCTTTCTTGATCTGATCCTCGCATTGAGTTTCGCCACAGAATGGCGACAACATTATGAACTTCTGGTCCAGTTTTGTCATAAATTCAGTCCACTGTTGAGTGACGATGAGATGGGAATCGCGTTCCTCTTTAGCTCTGGTGAAGAGACTGTCGTGAATCTGTTGCAAGAGTTGTGTGCAGTCATTGGCCGCTGCGGACAGTTTGTGAGTGCTTTTATCGCCGGTGTCTCGTCTCACTGCGACGAACTCTCCCTTTTGCATGTCTTTGGGGCCGAACTCGACGCGAACGGGCACTCCCTTCAGCTCCCAGTGGTTGAACTTCCAGCCGGGGCTGTAGTGGTCCGACAGATCGCACTTCACGCGAATGCCGGCGCCTCTCAGCTTGTGTTCCAATTGTTTGCATCCGTCCATCAGTTTATTCTTGTCTTCGTCGGTAGTGGTGGCGGTTATACCGCACGGAACGACAATCACTTGCAGTTTGGCCACACGCGGAGGCATTACGAGCCCCTTATCGTCGCCGTGAATCATAACCACAGCGCCGATAGAGCGGGTCGACAAACCCCATGAGTTTTGGTAGGCGTACGCCTTTTTGCCCACTTCTTGCGGGTCTTCGAACACTATATCAAACATTTTGCTAAAATTTTGGCCCAAGTAGTGAGAAGTGGCGCCTTGAATGCCGCGACCGTTTGTGCCCACATAGGCCTCGCATGTGGTCGTCATGTCTCCGCCCGCGAACTTCTCCTTCTCAGTCTTGCGGCCTTTGATGACCGGAATGGCCAACAAATACTCGTAGACCTGAGCGTAATAGTCGAGTATAGTGTAGACCTCTTCGAGGGCCTCGTGTTGGGTGGCGAAGGCCGAGTGTCCCTCTTGCCACAGGAACTCACGCGTGCGCAGGAATGGTGTCGGCGTCTTGAACTCCCAGCGCACGACTGAACACCACTGGTTCAGTCGGATGGGTAGGTCTCGATGCGATTGAACCCATTTGGCGTACGACGGGTACATCACTGTCTCCGAAGTGGGCCGTATGGCGATGGGTTCTGCGAGCTCTGATTGGCCCGATTTGGTGACCCAGGAAGTCGGATGGGTAGGTCTCGATGCGATTGAACCCATTTGGCGTACGACGGGTACATCACTGTCTCCGAAGTGGGCCGTATGGCGATGGGTTCTGCGAGCTCTGATTGGCCCGATTTGGTGACCCAGGCCACTTCCGGCGCGAAGTCGGCGATGTGTGTCTTCTCGGTCTCGAGCGCTGCCTTCGATATAAACATTGGGAAATAGCAGTTCTCGACGCCTAACCCCTTGATCTTGGCGTCGAAGAACGCCTGAATGGTCTCCCATATAGCGTAAGCCCACGGCCTCAGTATATAACAGCCGCTCACGTCGTAGTACTCAATCATTTCGCCTTTGGTTATCACTTCCGTATACCAGTCGGCGGTGTTCTCACTCTTACGCGTCTCAATGCCTAAACGCGTCTGTTTTTTAGCTCCCGATTTGCTTTCGGCCGCCGATACCTCTTTAGCCGCGGCTTTAGGCTTATTGTCACTCTTTTTATTTGGTTTTTCATTCGCCGATTTGGGAGCGCTTTGTTTGGCCTGACTTTGCGGTGCAGATCTGGCAGCGCTTTGAGGCGCAGCCGCTTTAGACACCCAATCAGTTCCGGTGGTCTTCTTGTAATCCACTTTGAGTTGTAATAACTTTTTGACGGCTTCGTCGACAAGAGCTTTGTCTGCTTTATCAGACTTAAGTTGTCGGACACTATCCGCCTGTTTTTGAACCAAATCATCTAATTCTTGTCCAGCGT